AAAAAGAACTATTGTAAGCTTATGAATGAATTCAGTTATTGGTTTTATGCTGAATGCCCTACAGTTTTTCTTTTTTTATTTCTCATAACAAATTGTGCTCTGGCATACAAAAATCTCAAACCTGGAAAGTATGCAGTTCAGATAAATTATTTTTCTCCGTTGTATCTATGGTTTCTAGAGAATTTGGAGTGCTATTATTTTTCATATGCTGAATTAATGAAGTAGGAAATGTATAATCTTGCTTCTCTGCTTGTGAATTTCTACTGAAGCAAAGTTGGCTTACACTATTTCCTTTTTATCTGAATTTAAAAACAATTAGCAGATTGAGCAGAATATAGGCTGATAGAATTATATTGAAAATGCTTGGGCAAACTATTCAGTTTTGAGTTCCAATGTTTTAGTGCATCAAAAGCATAATAAATGGCCATTCCTAAAAAAGAAATCAGTCTTACAATATGCATAATACTTGCATAACAACTCATCCATTATTTAATTCCATAGTTAGGTGAATTAAATGCATTCTCAGATCCAGTAAGCCTGACTTATCTGAAGCTTCTTATTCCTCAATACTTTAAAACTTTGTCTCCTTGCATAGCAATTAAAATAAAAATAAGGTTATATAGTTTACATGCATTATCTGGGTTTGGCAAATGGAAAGATTTTAAATTCCCTTAATATGGCATCATGGTGCATCAAATAAACTTTTAAAGGTTATTTACATCCATTCAGATTTAAAAATCCTCTTCCACCAAAATTTTGAACTTTGAAAAATTTTAGAATGTCTTGGTATTGTTAGTGCTATGTGCTACACTTTTAAGTGCCTTCCATATTTGCTTTGAACATCTTCAGACTTTGCTGGTATCTTAATATTCCTGAATTCAGAAGTTGCTCTCTTGATACATGACTGGGCAACAGTATCCATATTTCTCCCTGATACCTTTTTAATGAGTATTTTTCCAATATCATTTTAATGTACTGATATCTATTATATCATTGCTTATGTTGTAATCTGCTACTAGATGCTTTGGCATAGGAGATTACTTAATAATAATTTTGAATGTATTGATGTCTTCATTCCCAAACCAGGCACCCTCTAATTCATTCCCAAACTAGGTACCTTCTCTCTGTCTTCTCCTCAGAAAGAACAAACTCATCTAACTGAAAAACAAGGCTAACTGAAATGAAAAATAACAGAGCATCTAAAACTCCACAAAACAAGAGAATAAGGCTGCCTGCATTGAAACTTGTTCTAAAAAAAAAGTTGGTACAACTTTTAAAATATGCCAATACTGTAATAGTGAATACAGGCACCAGCTCACTGCAAGAAATAAACCAACTGAAATACAGTCATAAGTGAAGACCTTGGATGCAAAATCAACAAACGAGAAACATGGCTAAGTAACCCATCCCCAAAATGGAAGATCAGGTTGGAAAATAAGATCAGCAATGTAAGATCAGGTGCAAACAAGATAGGACAGATGAAAGGGAAGAATAAGAAGATCAAAGAATACCTGACAAATATCATCTAGAAAAGGAACCACTGAAAACAAGAAAGCAGCAAATAACAGGTATAGCCAAGAAGATCAGCAGATATGAAGCTCAAATTGTATGCTACAGGCAGAATCTCTAGTTTCATTTGAATCAGAAACATTTCTCCCAATCCATCAGTAGAGGAGAAGCTGCAATGACCAACTAAACACCTATAACAAATAAGAAATTGTGCAGTTCTGGGACCAAGTTTATATTCTTTGGAATATCCAAAGAAATGCAACAAGAATGCAGCTTAGATAAAAAGTTGGATAGGAATAAAAATAAACTGAAATGAAAGAACTTGTAATAACAGCAGAAATGGTGGAGAAAAGGGCAAGAAAGATCAAGAATTGGTCAGCATGAGGTGAAGAAAAACAGCTGTCAGCACTGGAGTGAATGCAGCTTGGAGCGTTGCACCGAATCCTGACAACAGCATGAAACATCTGATTGGTCAGCACCCACTCATAGCCAAGCAAATTAACATCATAATTCAAGAAAGTGAAACTGAAGCATGGCTAACATCTGGGGAAACTTATCTGATAATGAAAGAGCTAACTAAGGGCAACACCAGGCAACTACCTGCTTACCAACAACTTTCAAATTGCTAAGTGATGTTGTACCTGAGGTAGTCCAACAGCATCTGGTTGAAAAGAAGGTCTCTCCATCTCAGCAAAAAAGAAACTGACCAAACAGCAGAAGAGGAGGAGATTGTAGCTCTCTGCCACATGATTGGCTAGTTAAGTGCCTAGAAATGACAGTAGAAACATCAAACACTTCATGCAAAAATCAATGGCACAATGGAAGACACAGTTGCTGATCAATGATGACAGACTGGGAGAAGCTAATATCAAGAAAGGAATCTTTCAAGAAGGCTCACTATAATCCATGCTGTTTGTCATTGCATTGATTCCTCTGTCAACAATACTGAACAAGCCAGGCCATGGATATTAAACATCAGAAAGATTTGTCAGGCTATCCCATCTCCTTTACATGGATGATCGGATGTAATGTGGAAAAACACCATCTGAAATGGAATCACTGCTCAACACTGCCCAAATATGCAACTTAAGTATAGCAATGGAGTTTGGACTTGACAAATGTGCCACTCTCACCATCATTAGGAAAAAATAGTGAAAACTGAAGGAAAGCGCTAGGTGCTATGGAAATAACTTGATGTCTGGATGAAGACCATCACTACATATACCTGGGCATCATCCAAGATGATAACATAATGCACACTGAAGTCAAGAAGAACTGAATAAATCATGAGAGTGAATAAGATATTAAAGTCCACACTCAGTGGCGGAAATGCCCTCTAAGTGATTAATGCCTGCACAATTCCAGTCATTAGATACTGTATCTAGCTAGAATAGTGGGCTGGACTCAAGCAGAACTAAAAGCCTTGAATAGGAAGAACAAATAATTAATAACAATCATTCCCTTCATCCATGTAATGAAGTTGACAGACTCCACTTGACAAGAAACATGGGTGTGGAATGTTGGAAGTACACCAAACAGTTGAACAAAAATATGGCATTGGAAGAATATCTGAAGGGCACAAAGAAGATCCACTGAAGCTAATACAATATGAAGATTTACTGAATACTGAGCAGAACAAACTGGCTTACAAGACCAAATGAAGAACAGAAAAGAGACATGCAAGTCAAAGTATATATGGCCAGTACACACACACACACACACACACACACACACACACACACACACACGCAAGCAACAATAAAACCTGAAAATGGCTAAGAACAGGAAAGTTGAAGAAAGAGACAGAGGGGCTAATTCTGACTACACAAGACCAGATCTTAAGACCAAATGCATACAAAGCCAGAATTGAAAAGACAGCAACAGACAGCAAATGTCACCTCTGCAAAAAAGATGAAGAAACAGTGGATCACCTAGTTAGCTACTTCAATAGGATCACACAGATGATTGATTACAAACAATGTCATGACAAACTAGCAACAATGGTGCATTGGAAGATTTGCAAGAATCTGCCTATCCTAGGTCCTTGGAAAGAAATCAATAGGCGGATTAAAATGCCAAATTTAAAATGCCAGTCTAAACATCTGGTGGAGTGTCCAACTAATCATAATGGAAAAAAATAGGAAGCGGTGATAACATTTAATAGATTTCTTAAGCCCAAAGACGTGGAGGGAATACAAGAGAACTAATATCAGATCAGATGGTAAAAGTGACACTATTATGAATTCTTCCTGTTTTTGTTCCATAATTGAGTCTTATTAGTGATATTGTGATGACATTCATATGCCACTGTATTTCAGTTCATGTGACAGCTAATTATGGAACATTTCAGATAATTGGCCAGAGTTTTCTTCCTTCTCCTTGTCTTCCACCTGAATCTTTTCTCAATACGGTATGTGTTGCTGATGATACATTTCCTCCTGGATCTAAAATGTTACACCCATGTATTGTCTGGAACCAGATAACAATTCATCCATCCTCTGTGTAATTTCTTTAATACAGTCATAACCAATATTTATAGTTCTGTAGCTAACCATTTTCATAGTGTCTCCACATGCACAAAAAGTAGTCATTTTCTCATTAGATCTTTTATAGAAGTAGTGGAACGCAAAAGGTTTTATTTAAAGACTGTAAGATACTCATATGTCACTATGTAATTGGTTGAGGAAAGAAAATTACTTGCGTAGATCATGATTATGAGTGTTTCTGGAAGAAGTGGAACCCAGAGAATAGTTAGCATACCAGTCAAGACAAAGGTAGCCACCGATGGGTAACAGGAACTTGAATAGTACTTAGTCCTGTTCAATGAATTTCACTTTTACTACTAGACTAGAATAGTAAAAGATTGTTGCCTCTGCAGGACTAACTGAAGCCTGACATAGGTTTCCAAAATCTATAGCAGCGTGCCTCAAACTTGGCAGCTTGAAGATGTGTGGACTTCAACTTCCTTATTCTGGGAGTTGAAATCCACACATCTTCAAGCTGCCAGGGTTGAGAAACAGATCCATAGTGTAAGTCACCTGCAGGCTACCAAGATACAAATTGCACAGATGGAGGACAGACAGGAAGTGTTAGGTTAAGAAAATCTTTAAAATGGGATTTATTGTGATTCCTTGAGGCCATCCCCATCTGGACTGTCTATTATATAATGGTAAGGCTGGAAGGTATGGTTCTCTTGAACTTCTGCAAAAGATCTTTCTGTTACAATGATCTCTAGATCTTTTTGCTACACACCTTTGATTAATGGAGGGACAACAGACTACTTGCTGTCATTCTACATGATATGTGAGTGTTCTTTCAAGAACATCAAGCCTTGGGCAGTTTGCCCAATGAAAAGCTTATATACAACAACTACTACTACTATCACCACTACTACTAATCATCTTATTAAGAGCAGTTGGCAGCCAGAGCTACTTTTGGGTTTGTATTTTTTCCTCTTCATTTCAGACTAATGTTTCCTCTTCAATCCCTAGATGCTGATAGACACTGTGAATTTATTGGGAACCCTTTGAAGATTAAAAGCACCAGGAAATCATTATCATGTATCATTGGATACTTAGGTGAGTGTTTCCAGCCAAAATGAATTTAAAGGTGAAAACCATTGTATACAGGTTAACTGAATATTGTAAATGCAGAATATTTAAGAAAAGGGAAAGTGCAAACATTAAGCATTGATCAAAGTACTCTTGAAGCTATTCTATGCAGCACCACAGCACCTCACTGGTAATTTACAGCTTTGTCACATTTCCTTTACCCATCAAAAATAGCTTTTCTACATACATGAATACTACAGTTTAAAAAGTGAAGTAGCCAGTTGAGGCGAATGAGCTATGCATCAATGATTCCAATCAAAGCAGTGAAATGGAATATATCCTGGCCCAAAGCAGTAGATCAAATGGAGAGTGCTTAATTTGCAAAATCCTAATAAACCCAGAACTCTCCACATGTACTTGGTCTTTACAGTGAAGACATATAGGTCTTTACTGTAAGATTTGATAAGTATCTACCTTTTCATGGGTAGAACCTCATGTACATTTGCTCAGCTGGAACAGTATACAAGAAACAAACTTTTTGCTGGTGTTTGGGGGCCTTTCTCTTGCTTTCCCTTCTTGTGGTCAGGGAGTTGCAATGGCCAAAGCAATGGCATGGTAATCTTGCAGAAGTTACTAAAAGGAAGTAATTTTTAGTTTTTGATTAAACTAGTGTTTGTTTGTTTTTCTAACCACTAACAGTAAAAAATTGGCATTTTTTTTTGTTATAACATGATAATATTGATGACTCTACATGATGCACAAAGAACTTTATAATATATTTATTCACATTTATTCTGCAGATTATGAGTTATTTCATATTTTTAAAAATCTAATACATTATCAATTTCTGGATATATTTAGAAGTTTTGAGATATACTACACGTATTAAACTTCCCTAGCGTATAGGTCTTCTAAGATCAGAAGCACAACATTAGTCTTTCAATCATTTTCTGAAGTAAAGTGTGTCTTTTTCTTATTCTTTCCTTTAATTAAAACAGATCTATTCTGCTAAAAGTTAAAACAGGTTATAATATTATTAATAGATTACAAGGGAGGTTAATATAGAATAGAAATTAATTTACACAAGCACAAAATTTAAGAGAAAACTTTTACAAAATGTTTTATAGATGGCATTTAGATCCCAAAAAGTTATCATGTATGTATCCTAATGTGCAAGCTAAATGTTGGAGATGTGACTGTGATGACGCAACTTATTATCATATATGGTGGACTTGTAGAAAAATCAAAGCATTTTGGATAAAGATTTGGTGGGTGATGCAGAATATTCTTAAAAAGAAACTGAAATTTACTCCACAGTTGTTTTTATTGGGTATAACCACAGATTGTACAGTTGTAGAGACTAAATTGATTTTGAACTTGATAACAGCAGCAAGATTGTTGGTTGCACAACATTGGAAGAAGGATTTTTTGCCTACTATTGATGATTGGATATTGAAAGTAACTAATTTAGCTGAAATGGCTAAAATTTCAGCATTTTTGAAGGATCACACACAAGAAAGATATATACAGGACTGGAGAAGATGGATTGATTATATACAAAATAAGTATCAGACCAAAAAATATCAAATAGCTTACGAATGATGTTTTTTTTTTCTTATTATTTGTACAAGTGCTATATAAGTGATATTAGAAATATTATGCTTAAGAAATAGGATTTCATATATGGGGGGTTAAGGGAATTTTTCTTTTAGGGGTGTTAGCATAATTGGTTATGCAATTTAGCTTACTGTTAAAGCTTAATAGAAATACCTTGTGTTCTGCTCTGGGAAGTCGGGGAAGGGGAGGGGGGTGGGGGTTGTGGGGAAATTGTATTTGTTGTAAAACTCTTTTAATAAAAAAAAAAAAATATAGAATAGAAATTACTTATTCAGATAGAATTTACCATGTTATTTACCTATCATTTCTATACTGAGGCTTATCAAAGTAATTGCTTGCCAAAGTTATCTAAACCATGCAAACTAAAGGAAATCGTAGCTATCCATCTTGTACAGCTGAAATGGCTTCTGTATAATTCCCTTTTATAAATTTTCCCAGCTAATCATTTACTGAATTTCTCATGTTTGACTGACAGTCATAGATAGATAATTGGAGATAATTCTATCTTCTTCCCCAGACTGTAAAAAGATCTTCCATCAAAGATTTTTACTGACATATATATTCCTGAGCTAAATTGATATGGTAACCTTTGAGATTTCTCTGGCCTGACTTTATTTCTTTTTGTAACTTTTTCTGGAAATTTGCTATTTAAAAAGTGGATTTAAGACAGCTGACTTTTAAAATTCCAGGTTTACAGAAGAGATATAGGTGATGTTTCTAAAAGGTCTTTAATATTAATGTTTCTAATAATTTCCTAAGCAGTCTCATTTCTATAGAGATCTCATTCTGTAGCACAGCTAAACAGAAGACTGGCCAGCTTGGCTTCACTGACATCATGGAAATGTGGTCCCACATTTCCCACATCTCTCCTAGCCAAATCCAATCAGAGTTCCATAATTACCTACTTGCCAAGCCTTGAAAAGCTTTATAGCAGGGGTATCAAACTCATGTCGTCATGACACATGATATGTCATGTGACATATCGGGATTTCCCCCCCCTTCACTAAACTGGGTGTGAGTGTGGTCAGCACGGGACGCATCTGGCCCACGGGCCGGGAGTTTGATAGCCTTGCTTTATAGTATAGCATCAAGTGCTACTATAGTATAGTAGCACTTTAAATAGTATACTGAACTGAATTGGCAACCCATCTAAAAACCATGATGTAGGCATAATATTCTTCCAGTTTTGGAAGCCATACATGGGTATGTATTCTGAGTAGCATTTAAAGGATGGGTAAGAGGTTTCATAAGAGCATGAATAATTAGTATTAGGTCCTCCCGCAGCAGGCAACAATGCAATTAGTACATCAGCTGAAGCTGGTCAGCTATGTCCAGTCATGCCCTTCTCCTACTGTTCAAGTCATGAATCTAGGTTACCAGTGGTCCTTGCTTAACCACCCTATTTGGGACTGGAATTTCCATCACTAAATGATGCAGTTGTTAAATGAAACATCATGTTCCTTAGTGTCAGCAGTTGCCAGGTACAAGGACTCAGGATGACACAGCTACAGTATCAGCTGTGATCAGAATACCATTGATCAGAATGGTATATTTATTACTGCTCAACAGGAATCTTGCTAGACAGGGAAATTACTAGATAAAATAAATTTAGGGAGTATCTGCTTTCCACTTCTTCCTCCCACTTAGCGATTCCAAGCTAGCTGGTCTTTTTACTCCTTTCCTCACTTCAACTCCAGATTCCACTGCATTAATTTCAGTAGTCCCAGTTGCAGTTGTTAATCCAAATCACTTCTCCTGTCCTGTCCTGCTGTGCTTGTCTCTGTCTCTGCTGTTTTGGCCTGCCACCTATCACTGCGGTCCTCCACAGCACCAGATGACCTTTGTTAACTTCTTCCATTGCTGATAAGGCCACCTGGCCAAGACAGCTGCTGGCCCTTCTGTGGAGTGCAGGGCAACCGAAAGGACAGAAATGGGGAGGCTGCTGCAAGCTGCAGTCAAAAATGAAAGTGAACTATCAAGCCCTGAATTTTTAATCATGTGACTGTGGGGCACTGCAATGGCTGTAACGTCAAAGGGTGGCAGTGACAATCATTTGTTTAGTGCTGCTGTGACTGTGAATGTTTCATGAATGAATGGTAGCTAAGCAAGTACTAGTGGTACATGTTTGTTGAATGCCATACACTGTGTATGCTTTACATGTGTCTTGCATGCACAATGGAAGAAATTTTATCCATTTAAAATGAATTCTGTCAAGTCACACCAAAGTTTGTTTGTTTAGTTTATTGGTTAGACCATCCATCCGTCCGTCCGTCCATCCGTCCATCTGTCCGTCCGTACAGTGTTGGGTTGCCCCTGGTTCGCACCGGTTCTATAGAACCGGTAGTAAAACCGGCAGGAGGCTCCACCCACCGACCCCAATGTCATCAAAATGCTTCTGCGCATGCGCAGAAGAGCACGTGGCCCTGCTGCGAACCGGTAGTAAAGTAGAACCCACCCCTGCATCTGTACATACATACATACATACATACATACATACATACATACATACATTATCTACAGATCATCAGATTCTTCAAAAACAGCTTTGCAACTCTGCTTATTGTAAGTTTACCTTTCTTAATGCAAAGCATATCAGACAGGAACAATACAGTATTAATTATATGAACAGAATTCCTGCTAACAACTGGAAAACTTGCAAACATCTCTCTAAATATGGAAGTGGTTTCAAAAACTTTTGCAAACTTCAAGCAATGTGCATTGTGCGTGTGTAAGAACAAGTTATCTAAAACATGCTACTTTAATGGCTAAACAAGTATTATGTCTCTTTTCACAGTGGTAGATAAGCTCAAGTAAATAATTTCCACAGATCCTCTGATTGTGATAATGGGCGTCCAGGTTAATCCAACGTTTATCAATTTCCTGTAAGAAACCAGGAAATTTGAACTATGTAAGTCCTCAATGTGATGATATGATTCTGATTTGAAATAACTGTCTCCTTTAACAAAATTACAGAGATTCATCCTGCAATGAAGCCTAATATAATCAAGTCAACACCAAGCCTTCAGAGCTCAACGTCAAAGCGACTACTTGCTCCTCCTGGTCATTCGTCATTAAGTATTTTGGGAAAGAGAAATTATAGTCATTATCACAATGGCCTGGATGGTAAGTATGAAGGCCTGATATCTTAACCTTCTTCCTCCTTGTTCTTTTTATTATTATTATTATTATTATTATTATTATTATTATTATTATTATTATTAAAAATAAAATTTGGGAGAATGCCAGTGGCAATATTTATTAGCTTTTCACTGACCTTTACACTAAGGAGTTGGTATAAATAAAATTTGGTACAGGAAATAAATCAGGTTTGAATAAAAATCGGAACTATTTTTAATCTTCCTGTAAGAGAATATATCTATAAAATATCTCAATAGTGTTTGAATGAGAAATCTATTAATCTTTCCCACTGAGAAGTTTTTAACCAATTTCTGCAGATTACATCTATGATACAAGCAATTTTAAAATTTCACATATCTCTAATTGTAGACTTAGTTTCAAGGAATGGATTTTTTCCCCCCTTCTCTTCAATTGTATTTATTTTGTTTGTTTAGAAAATTCATGTCTGATTCTTAGAAGCTGCCAGGACAAGTTTCTGCAGTTTTCTTGGCAAGGTTTTTCAGAAATGACTTGCCATTGCCTCTTTCCTGGGGTTGGAACCAGTGGTGGGTTGCTCCTGGTTCTGTCCGGTTCTTTAGAACCGGGAGTAAAAGCGACGGGAGGCTCTGCCCACCTGCCTGGCCATCATAATTGACAATCTGCGCATGTGCAGAAGCTTCTGCGCATGCGCAGAAGTGCAAACGTGCGCTCCCATTGCAAACCAGTAGTAAAGGTAAGTAGAACCCACCCCTGGTTGGAACATGTACAAAATAGTACAAGTAGTCCTTGACTTACAACCACAATTGAGCCCAAAATTTCTGTTGTTAAATGAGACATTTGTTCAGTGAGTTTTGCCCCATTTACGACCTTTCTTGCCACCGTTAAGTGAATCACTGCAGTTGATAAGTTAGTAATTTGGCTGTTAAGTGAAACTGACTTCCCCATTGATTTTGCTTGTCGGAAGGTCACAACAGGTGATCATGTGAACTTGGGACACAGCAAGGGTCATAAATATGAACCAGTTCCCAAGCATCTGAATTTTGATCACGTGACCAGGGGGATAGTGCAAAGGTTGTAACTGTGGAAAATGGTCATAAATCCCATTTTCATTGCTGTTGTAACTTTGAACGGTCACTAAAAGAACTGTTGTAAGTTGACAACTACCTGTAGTAGTTCTGAAATGTTATGATTGTGGAAGGTAGGAACCAGCTACATTAAAAGTCTTTCTTTGGAAAGATTATCCAACTTTTTCAGTTCTTGATATGTTAGACTTTTCCTCTAAACAAAATGCTTCACTTATTTGATTGATTACATTTAAAAAAACCCAGCTTTTTAAAATGAAAAATCAAGAATAAATTCTTAGCTTAAAGTTATACCACATCAATTTTCATCTCATCAGTTAGCTTTTGGGAAGCAATGATACCAATCTGAACACCTGAAGGCCATCATACTGATTTATTCTACTATATGTAAAGAATACTGATGCTCAAAATAATATGTGTTTGCTATGGGTGATGCTGAGACTAGATTGCCAATACCGAGTGTCAAACATGTAATGATAGAATTCATTACATCCTGGTTGTGCCCTTGTGATTTATGACTCTTGGAGACAAGATTGTGGGTTTTCCCTCTTTTAATTAATTTGGGTAGATTTCTATCTCACCTTTTTTTCCCTCATGAAACTCACTGAGCACCTGAGCTTTTCAAGCAGGCTCTCCTATGTGGCATAAACCTATTAACTTTCTGCAGGAAGGTTTTCTCATAGTTTCCCTTGCAGATGGACACAAGGGTTAAATTCATACAGGAAGCTTATCTAGAATTGAAGTGGCTTTTGAAACCAGCTACTTTGGGTAAACCATATTTATAACTTAATGTGATCCGTGAGCTTAAACAATTGTAATTCCCTAAATCATGATTAAATCATGGCTTAACATGACAAGGAAATCCTATTTTAGTATCATACAATACATACCATTTAGGTAACATGCTGGTCTATAATCTGGTTTATAACAGCCCTCCTGCAAATGAGGACTCAGCTATCAACATATATCATCTTTTCTCACTCTTTTTTTCTTTCAAGGATCTTTGGTTTGAAGAACTAACATAAATATGTATATTTTTAAGGTAGAAAATCTGGAATGAAGAAACTTAAAAGAATTCCCCCAAACCAGTTCAGTTTCTTTTCTCTTTCCTCACTCTTATTCTTCCCGATTAACATAAGGAGAACACCTGACATTTATCTCTGCAATCTATGTTTATTTCATAGCTCATCTGCTTAAAATTTTAAAAAATTCAAATGTACAACCCTGAGCCACCACGGGTTTTTTTTATGATGAATAATTACCGTGATAGTTGCTGGAAGGAGCTAATCGGTTGGTTGGCAATTGGTTTATTGGAGAATGGTGGAATTTTTCATATTCCCACATTTTATTTATGTGCAGCCTCAATTTGATATGAAAATGCATGTGACCTAAACTCTGTGCACTAACAATTTCTTACCTGAAATTGAAAATAAAAATGATACATTAAATAAAAATAATGTAATATATATTTCTCTCAAACATTATCTCCCATATAGAGGCAAACAGGCACCCTAAATATATTGATGTTTTTCTTTCAGTTAAGTAAGTTTCATCTTTGATCACAATTACACATTTCTAAGTACACTGTGAGATTATCACCTCCTGACTTTTAAAAAAAAATTAACCTGGGGTTAAAATAGTAACAAAACAAATAGATAACAACCACATCACATCCTCCATGTAGACAGAACTGCAAGGGAGAGAATGGGGAGGAATGTACTAGTTCCACCATTACGTGGTATGACCCATCAATCTCCTTGTATCTGAAGGTGAGCATCTCAATGGGGAAGCGTTCTACTTATTTAGGCCCCACTCTGTGATTCAGAATCCTGGGGAGCCAATATTCTAAATTGCATCAAGAACCTACATGAGTCAAACACTCCCTGCTGCCCTAATTCCTAATTCATTCTTCATCTCAGCAGTGGAGGAACAGAACACACAATCCTTCCCCTGCTGTTTTTCATGTGCTTCTAATTTTGTGAGTGTTTTTAATGCCCCAGTTGGGATCCAGTAGTACTATATAATTTTAGCATACTGTAGTCTTCATTTGGGATACATACTATTTTTCTTTAGCTGTTTTACTGAAATCTTAGAAACCAATGGATTCTTGCAGAATGTTTTGTACCTTTTTTTTTTTAAATGTACAAAAAGGCACTTTAATTTCTAGTCATGTTTACCCAAGGGATTGTTTTATTTTTAGCAAAATGGATTAGTCATTTAGCTAAGCTAAATGTTCACTTGACACAAAATTGTCAAAGTAGCTATGTGTTTATATATAGGAAAAAAAGAAAGGACACAGAGAATGCTTCAGAAAAAAACAATATGACTTTCTTTTTTTTAAAAAAATGAAAATCATGTGTAAACTCCCAGGCCTCTGATTACTAACAGCCAATATAGATTTATTCAGGACAATTTGATTTTTTTAGTGAGAAATAATTGCTTCGCAAGACAAGGCGGACTATCATACTCAGCCAAAGCATAGCTAAATATTCAGATTGCAACCATTTTTACTTCTGGATTAATCTGCTATTTAAGCAGAAGATTGTGTGTCCAGTAACCCTATGCAAGTCATGTTCAGTTCTTTGGAGAAAGGATTGGAATGAAATGAAATAAAATAAGAATATTTAATAGGCATTTTACAGGAGCCAGCAAGACTTTGAGGATGCAATCAAATAATTTTTGATTCTGAAGTTATGGTCTTAGGCATTCACTTTTTTCAAAAGATAGTATATATGGCTTAGGCCCAGGATATTTGTCGGACCATCTGCAACCAGCAACAGCTTCCCATTGCCCAGTGTGTTCTCACAGGGAGGGCCTACTCAGGGTGATGTCGGCCAGACAATGTCGGCTGGTGGCCCCCAGAGGTAGAGCTTTCTCTGTGGGTGTGCCCACCCTTTGGAATCGACTCCCCCTGGGGCTCCGGTTGGCCCCTGACCTTCGCACTTTCCGCCGCGAACTAAAGACATGGCTGTTTCAATCACCCAGCCTGGACTGATGGAGTTTGATTATTTTAATGAGTTTTAACATACGTTTAATTTGTATTTAATATGTTTTTATCTGGTTTGATTTTAATTGTTGTGAGCCGCCCTGAGTCCTATGGAAATAGGGTGGCATACAAATCAAATTAATTAAATAAATAAATAAATAAAATAAATATGTTATTTTAAAGTGGTGTAGCATATCACAACTATGACTGTGACTCTCTTAAATGAGATTCTGGATTCTTCCCCAAAGTCCTGCCCTTACTAGATTGCTGTCCAGCTTTTGTATCATCTTGTAGGAAGAAGCTCAATTATGAAAATCGGAAAGCAATCACTCAGAAAGAAGGCTGTTAGTCAGTGGTGGGATTCAAATTTTTTTACTACCAGTTCTGTGGGCATGGCTTATTGGACGTGGCTTGGTGGATGTGGCAAAGGAAGGATACTGTAAAATCTCTTTTCCCTCCCCACTCCAGGGGAAGGTTACTGCAAAATCCCCATTTCCTCCCGATCAGCTGGGACGCGGGAATAGATGGGGGCAGGGCCAGTCAGAGGTGGTATTTACCGGTTCTCCAAACTACTCAAAATTTCTGCTACCGGTTCTCCAGAACTGGTCAGAACCTGCTGAAACCCACCTCTGTTGTTAGTGCAGGCAAAGAAAGGGTCCAATATGCTTCTCCAGGACTGTATTCCATTCCTACCTGTGAAGGAATAAAAATTTCAGGCCCCTAGTTTCTTCCCTGTTAGGCTCTATCAGGGATTGGCTCTAAAGGACAGGAGGAAGAGCTGCTATCAGATTAATATGGCTTCATTCCATTCCAAGGAGCTAATTGGAGAAAACATCTCAGACAAGCCCCTCCCTAGTTCACACAAAGATAAAGTGCAGGAAGAGGGAAATACATTCAGACTTGCAAGATTCTGTTACTTATAGCTATTCCAGTAAAAGTAGTTTTTTTTAACCTACTGTATATAGTTTCTTAGTCTGGCCTACTTTATAGGATTGATGATATTCATTGCAATACCAAATCATTTTGGTAGTCAGGGAGTAAGGCTGTTCTTCCTTTTAGTAGGGCATGCTGTAGCTCCTTGATCTGCAGGGGTTTTTTCCCCCTTGTGTATTTGGACTCAGCACTAAGGACACTTTTTGTAGGCCAAGTGACAGGGTAGAACAGTTTTCTCAACCTTGGCAACTTTAAGATGTGTGGACTTCAACTTCTAGAAATCCCCAGCTAGCACTGGAGTATCTGTCTGGCTTCTTTCCCAGCTGTTCAGTTAGGCCAGGAACAAGGATGATTTCAGGATCTGACCTTTCTGATAATTTGCCTTTTTCAGCACGGATACTCGGATATTCCTTTCACTTCTACCCTCCCCTTGTGTTTCTATTCCCCTTCATTTAATCTCAAACTATTTTCCCCCCTCAAAAATAATGAGAAACAGAGAGGGATCCATCCAATTGAAAAATGAATACACAGTTTTTAAAATACACTTATCCCAATAGGCGCTTTAGATGGAATAATCCCAGCACATTTATGGCTCAGATAATTATCAGTGGATGTAATGTACTCAAGCAAAAACAATCCTTATGTGGAAACATAAGGATACACCTATTCTTGATATATAAGGTGAGATATGAAGCAGACATAAAGCAGATAGACATGAGTACAAGAAGTCCGTGGAATGTGTTCATTTTAGTTGAAATAAGGGCTGAAAGGAGTAGTAATGAATAAGCACATTTCTGATGCTCTTAATGGAAGAGTGCAGAATGATGAAATTGGTATTAATTAAAAGGCAAAACAGCAAAAACTGAACAGAAGCAATGGTATATTGTGATAATAGAGCAGGAGAAGAATATACTTTTAGGGTTGAAAGGCATTTTGAAAATTATAAAGCAAGTTCACCCCCTCTCCCGCTGCTCAGTCCAGATGTTTTGTAAGTATATCTTGTGTATTTACAAAGTGTTTTCTTTGGAAATGTTTAAATTATTATTTTCATGGTACAGTACTTAGTAGGACTCAGTGTGGATGGAGAGAGTGAGCAAGCAAGCCCCATCCAGCTTCTATTTAAATGTCTCAATTGTTCATGATGTATTTCTCTGTTCTACTATCAACCAGCCTATAGTTAAATGTGTAATATTTCAACCTCCTTACCTATAAGTTTCATGTTCATATTCAGCTCATTGTAGTAAAGAAAACCCATTTGTTCCATGTTCAACATAACAGCTTCTCAGATCTTGTAGCTCCACTATCAATGATACCTGCTATCCTGGGTTTTGTATCTGTTGTGGCTACTTTTATGGAGAGGGAAGATACTTTGGCCTCTTATGAAAGTGCTGCAATTCTACAATTGTTAACCCTAGATTTGCTTTCAAGTAGATTGTAAGAAAAATAATACTTTCAAAAGCAAATGTTAATTTGGGTCTAATTGATTCTGTGTATGTATATTTTAGGGCTCTCCAGTTATGCACATGGAACTAAAATGGTAAGTATTCAATTTTTTAAAAATTCTAACCTCTTTGAAATGCAAAATATCCAGTGAAATCTCATGCAGAGTTATTTAGAAAACTCTGAATTCAGCTAGGCTTATTCTCAGATGAAAGGGCTTAGGAGTGCAACCATAACATTTGTGCCTATTCTTTAAAAATATTTATTTATTAGCATTGTAGAACCACCCATCTTGCATACATGACTCTGGGATTCTGGGTGGCTTGCAACAATTAAAAACAACAGCAAGAACAATAAAAATATAAATAATATATATATATCCCTACTAAAATCACTATTGAAACTAAATCAACAAGCCACACATCTCATTCAGTCCAACACTGTAAAGCCTCACCACTACCACTGGACCCTGAAATTTAGTGGCATAGTCATGCCATCCTAAAGGCCAGAGACGCCAATGTTAAGTGTTGGGGAGGATGATGTTCCAAAGAAATGGCATAAAAGTCAAGGCAGAAATGTAATGTCAGAAAAGACTCTTTTCCTGGGTCCCGGATGGCATTCCTTAGTGGAATGCCATCAGGGACCCTTATGGGTCCTTAGATCCATAGCATGGGTCTTGCCCACTGTGAGATAGGATGGGTAGGCTGTAATTGTGAATAATTATTTTTTTAAGTTGGAAGGGAGGGAGGGAGGGAGGGAGGGAGGAAGGGGAAGAAGGGAAAGAGGGTGGAAGGAAGATCAAATCCTTTGTCTATAAATTGTTGGAAAAGATTAGGAGAGAAACCTACAGAATAAAATATTTTAGTGTTTCTTCTACCTGTTTCCTCATCTCATAATCTTATTCATGGAAAGAATTATGCTATAAGTCTGGAAAACCCAAACAAAATGAATTAAATAAACAAAACCACTAAAGTTCCATTAGGGAAAAATTGGCATGGCTTCATCAATAGCTTCTTAATGAAAAAGATGAGTAAAGCAAGGATTTACAATAGATGGAAAGCTGGAAGGATGGATTTATATCACAGTTAAGTCCCAGAGATGACATATGCATATTACAGGCCATCAATCAAAAAGGAACTGGAGGCAATTCATAAGAGACTTTGTAACAAAATGAAAACTGCAATATCTAGATATCTGTCAACAGGCATTTGGATTATGTTAAGTGGTGGTTTCATACACTTGTCAGAGATGTTTAGAAAGCCAAATATATATTCAGCATTGCTTTCAATGTTTGTCCTTTTAATCATTCTTCCTTATTCTGGTACTCTCCAAAAGGTTTGGGACTACAGCTACCAGAAATTCTAGCCAACATGCTGAATCAAGCATAGGAAGGTTACTCTGCCTGAATAGTATTAAAATTGACTTGAATCAAGCTAATCATCTTCTTTAGCATCCTAGACTTACTCTAATCCTCTTCTTTTTTTTTTACTGTATCACTACCAGTTACAGTACAGTATGTATATATACAATTTCATCTTCCTTTTGTGTACAATGTTCATAAAAAAGGAATGTTAATCTTTGTTCGAAGAAGCTAAATATCTGAACAAGAAAAATCTATTCATTCTTCCACACAAAAAGTGAAAGAAAATGAAAAAGAAAATGTCATAGCTTGCCATTTTGCATGTTAGCTGATCATTTTCAATTTCAGTCCTGTTCATTTTGTCTGGATGACTGAAAAGGAACTGCAAAAACCATCAAACTAGCTTTTCCCTTATAGGACCTAGTTTAGGAATGAAACAAAGAGTTCCCTCCAATACAGAAATAAAGAGGCAGACTTAATATAGAAAAAGAAGACATAGCAGTTTGAAAATAGCAAAATTCCTAGTATAATTTATGTTCTGCTCATACACACAATACACACCCAAACATAACTGTATGTGGATTTATCCTTCTAAGCATCTTAGCTAGTACAAATGTTAATGATAAGAGTATGACTCAATTACTCAATCTATATTGGTTGCCTATGTTTTCCACTAGATCAAAGTGCTGGTATTTACATTTTAAAGTTCTAAATGGCCAACTATTTTAAGGATTGCCTTTGCTGAGATAGGCCTCCTGATGATGTCTGTTCAACATCTAAAATATTCCTTCCTGTTAGGTCAGTGATGACTAACCTTTTTGCTGTCATGTGCCAAAAATGGGGGGAGAGCAGAGGGTCACGCATGTGCGTGCCCACACCCATAATTCAATGCGACCTGCCCCACCCCGTGCATGCATGCTTGACCCTCCCTCGCTCCCCACTTTTGGCACATGAAGGCATGGTAGACTCATTTTTCAATTTCCCCAGGCTCCAGAGGCTTTCTAGGAGCCCGAGGAGGGCAAAAACGGCCTTCCCCATCCCCCTGGAGGCCAGAAATGGCCAGTTTCCCAACTCTGATGGGCCTGGAAGGCCCGAAAATCAGCTGGCCGGCTTGTGCATGCGCACTAGAGCTGAGCTAGGACAACGCTCGCATGCCCACAGATATGGCTCCATGTGCCACCTGTGGCATGTGTGCCATAGGTTCGCCATCGCGGTGTTAGGTTGTCCAATGACCTTCTCAAAAGTGTATCAAGTTTGTGAACCCCTGATAGGGACCTGTTTATACAATATATGCTGTTTTTATGCACAAAGAAAAACTTTGGCACTTCAAGAATTTCATGGGAAGTTGTATACAGTAGTTCTGTTTTTTCCCCTCCTCTTCAACCTCTTTTCACTTTAGATAGACATCTCATATTTCTAGAAAATAAGCATGAAAGTGAAAAAAGGTCAGCCCCTTTGAGATTTTTTCCAGTATCTAAGATTTGGGAGGCAGGGGAAAGACAATTTGCTTCTCATGTTGGATGGCTGGCAGGCTGACTGGTTGGATCTATCTTTTTCCTGTCTGCCCATTCATTACAAGCCTGAACTGGACAGACTTCTGTTCATCTTCCAAATTGCATTTTGAATTTCTGAATATATTTTAATGTACTTTCTCAACAATATGCATTTTTAAAGACATTTCTTCTTCAAATACCTATTTTAAAACTTGTCTATACCTTTTTGTGTGGATTTGGCAATGGAGAAATTCAGCAATATGTTCAAGTTGAAGGATAAATTCTAGACCGTGCATTAAACTAACTTTAGGAAATATGGCCACTTTGTTTTAAACTCCAGACTAATGAAACCTCTGCCAGTGGCTTCTCTTCCTTCAGGGTTTCGCCTGCTTGGTGAGACATGATGGCCCAAAGAAATATAGATATACAGGTGAATATCTGGGAAGATCAGAGGCACTGGATCAGGGGTGAAATGCTTCCGGTTCGGACTGGATCACCCAATCCGGTAGCAATGAAGGCAGGTGGTTCGGAGAACTGGTAGCAAAAATCCCTGCCCCCACCCCCATGCCCAGCTGAGCCGCGCCATCATCAGAGCCATTTTTTTTAATTTTTAAAAGCATTTTTTCTACAACCTCTTCCGCCGAAAAAATGCTTTTAAAAGTAAAAAAAAAAAAGCCTCTGATATTTGCGCGGCTCAGCTGGGATCGTCAGAGGCTTTTAAAAGAAAAAAAAGCCTCTGCTGATCAGGCAACTCAGCTGGGATTCTCAGAGGCTTTTAAAAGCATTTTTTAAAAAACCTCTTCGGCTGAAGAGGTTGTAGAAAAAATGGTTTTAAAAGTAAAAAAAAAAAAGTTGGCCACGCCCACCCAGTCACATTACACCCCCCCCCAAGCAATGCCCACAGAACCGGTAGTAACAAATTTTAGAGTTCACCACTGCACTGGATCCTTCTAAAGAACTCAGGTCATATTAAAGACAAAATGGCTTTGAAATGGACTATGTGTTCCTATACCCTACAATATATCAGAAAAAGCCCACCAGCCATTAAATCACAGTCCTTTATCTCAGATTATACACAGACAAGGCAAGCGGTATTTTGAAAAGCCCAGTTCACTTGAAAGTTGTCAGGTAATAACACTCAGTATGGAATTGTTTGTGCTAATCTGAACCATCGTTATTGTTTTTTCCTTTTGGCCAAATATTTATGAAGCATGTGTTTTCTTAGGTTGGACTTGCATAACTCCTGCCAGGATATAATTTTCATCATTGGGAGAAAAAAAAAATCCTTAAAAGCATGATATATGGATATGTTCTTTTCAGTCCTCTGTAAATAAGAGAGCAAAACAGCCTGGGGAAAGCATTCTGAAGGTTGTAGCTGCAAAATTGCTTTTTATGGAAAGGCCAAAAAATGAGGTGGAAGGATTTTAGGAGTCCTTCCTCTATGCCTTCAGCATAAAAGGAGAGCAGTTTGGCATCAATAATACACAAAGGTTGCCAAAACAACCCCAGAACATCATATTTAAGTACTTAAAGTCTTAGCTCATTGATTATAATTTAATTGATTATATGTGAGGCAATTGACAGATATGTTTTCCAGTGGTTTTGGAGAGAGCAGTCAGTACTCAGGTATCTGATGACATTCTATTTATATTAAGAAGCACATCCCTCTGTTTCCTCTCACTTTACTCTTCCTATTAATGACCTTATGTTTGGTCTTTCTCATTTATTTGAACACATCTTTAAAATATATTTCACTCCATAGTCAAAAAATGCATTTGCTAGATCTAATTCAAGGTGCCATCCCATGGCCAGTATTGCCATGCCCCAATCTCCTGCCTGCACCTATTGTGGGAATGGTCAGAGATAACTATGATTTATGCAATTGACCAATGCAGTGTAGAAATCAGCTCTTAATCACTGCCTCATCCTTGCCTTGTGTTTGCTAGTGAAGATGGTAATGGTAGTGATAGGAAATAGCTGGTTTGTTACAGTTACATTATTTGGCCTTCGTAGCTGAGGGGAAGGCATAAAGAGGGGGAAAAAAGGAAATTCTGCAATTTGAGCTGGGGAAAAAAATCATTTGATTGTTAAGTGTGGATGTGAGCATGCAGAGTCATTGGGGTGAGTGGAAGTGTCCTTTAAATTAAACCTGACAGATGTCTACATGCAGAATAGTGACTGGAACTTTGAGATTTGCCATCCAGAATGAGATACAATTTAACATCCAGATTGTTCCAAGTGCAATAAATTCATCTGTTGTTAAATTTCTTACCATAATGCTGTGACAAAACCTGGACCGTTTGTTAATGCCTAATTATTATTAAGTGGAATTCATAGCTACTAGAAGAAAAAAACAAGGTAAAAAAAATAGAAGCAGCAGGAAACAAGATTGTTTTTTTATTGCAGAGGGTTTCACTGAAATTGAGATAAAGCATTTGTCACTTTTTAATCTTCAGAGTCCAGAAGTGAAATGAAATATCTGAGGACAAAATGCAGTGCAGGTCACCAATTCTTTATCCATTGCAATTTGTGAATGTTGCAGTATTAAAAGTTCGTCATATTTATGTCCTGAATTACAGGATACAACTTCTGCTTAAGTTTTACTTAGTGTGTAGTTCAGACCATTATACTTATGTGCTACTTTCCCCCGAGTCTAACAGACAGTTTTCAATTAGGGCAAAAGTGGAAAAACTGTGCCTGTCTAGAATTTCTGGAATTTCAACTATTCAGCTCTGCTCAGCCTGGTCAAAATTATAGTCAGAAACATTTGGATTTTCACAGGTTCCCCAATCCTGTTTTAAGGATAAAAACCTACTGTATGACTTGCAGTTAAGGCAAGAAATACACTCCCCAAATTGGGTTTGGTTTATCTGCGAGTGGGCTTATCCATAAACATACTGTAAATAGTAATACTTCTTAAAAGTACACGCAAAACTTCGCAGATAAGCCCATCTGCAAATATGCTTAATCCTGAATTTTTAACCAAAATATCATGAAAAATGCACCGCCTACAGATAAGCCAATTGTAAAAATTAGAACATGAACATTTTGAGAGTCAGTTTATCCATTAGTGGTACATTTTTTTAATAGTATTTTGTTTTAAAAATTCAAGGGTTGGCCTATCCACAGATGGGTTTAACTTTTATATACTGAACTTTGTTTTACCTGCAGAAGACCTGATCAGCTAGAAACCAATAAGCAGCAAAGGTGTTTAGAGATTAAGATCTTGTTGCAGCACCAGTACATCAAATTAAGATTAAAGATTTTAAATTAAGATATTTAAAAGTTCAGGAAGGATAGTATGGTCTTGGGCTGCTGTTGGTTTCCCAAAAGTGAGCCCATGGTTTAGACCCACAAGCAGCCCAAAATTGACCTCCAGTCAACCATATTAGAACTAAGACCAGAGCTGTTTGTCCTGGATAAAGAAGGAGGCAACTCTCTATACTGGATGGTATATATTGCTGATATCTCTCCCTTTTATATTGATTTCAGCAAGCGGCACATGATTTCTATACAACTAATGGCAAAACTCTACAAGTCGGCACAAATGACCTTATGCCAAGTGTTATGCCATTGCTCAAGAGACAGAGACAGAATTGGCTCAATGCTCCTGATGATGGTTTCTTTATTGCTACAGAAGAGACCAGGTAAGAAAAAAAGGGAGCAAGAGCCTACACTGGGGGTGGTGAATCCAAATGTTGCTGAACTACAATTCCCAGCAGGCCTCACTTTTGAACATACAGGTTGGAGTTGCTGAGATTTAGCAACATTAGCAGTGAGGTGTCCCAAATTTTCTGTCCTCTTGAACCAAAAGCATTGGTAGCCCCTGTTATTTAGTATAATTTGGGGGGCAACTAAAAATGCATTCCTGTGCATGTGATGACTATGCATATATAAACTCCAGAAAGTTTGGCAGTTTTGGGACCAGTTCTATGGAGTGTTACAAACAAATGTATAGGTTCATACCCAACAGAAAGCCTGAAAGCAGTTATCGAGTAGACAATTCTGTTTAAAAGTATCTTCATACATCAAAGGCTTGCTTTGTAAAAGATTTTATTCTTTGGAGAAGGGCATGCAAAGAGAAGGATTAGGACCTGCATGAACTCTTAAATTCATGCCATATTAGTTGATGGTGCAATTAGTTCCTATGGAGAAAAGTAATCAACTACCCTCAGGGTCAGTGCTGGCCACTTGTCTTCTGAGACTTATTATGGGCCACTGATAGTATAATGACAAAAACAGTGACTTTGCTGGAGGTCTCTATAGTATTATACTAATAAGAATAAAATCCCTAATTTTCTTCTACTATTAATTCAATCATTCCAGAAAGGAAGCTATGGCTCTTTGGAAGCAAATGCCCTTCTGTGTACTTTGAGTCTCTAATGTTTGAGTCACAATTGTATGATTGTGTGGATTTTTATTCTTTTTAATTTGCTTGCCAGAGCCTTATTTGGTTCATCTTTGTATGAAGAACCAAAGGGAGCAAGTTCCTTACTTGGCCTTTTTTTAAAGCCCTTCCATTCATATTTATAAGCTTCCAGCTTTACCAGAGAAGATGCTTTCAATGTGCTGATTGCAGTGGGAAAGTGTCAGTTGTAATTCATCACTTGATGGTCTGATGGTGGAACTCAGTCTCCAATATCTAAGAGAAGCAGGTGGATTTAGTTTAGGCTTATATGCATCTAAGAACTTAGAAAAAAAATGTGCAGCTCAGCCTCATTTATCCCAAGAATTTGAGAACAGTTGAAAATTGGAATGTCATCCTGAGTATCTACTTAATCATTTGTTTGGAAGAACTGACAGCTTCACATTTCTGATTCCTGCAAACAAAACCATCTGTACAAGTGGGGTAAACAGGTTTTTTAAAATCAAAGTAGAACTGTAATCATATCCCATCCGCTTTTTGTGACTGGGTAGGTCGGTCTAAGATGGTTGAGGCTCAGTTTTGTGATCTAGTTTGAGTTTGGGTTAATAAATTTGAAGAAGTGGACAAAGAATAATTTTGGTGTGGCTTAATTCAGCTACCTGTTTGTTGGTGCTTCCTGATTAATTAAGGTGGCCAGTGAAGTGACTTGCAGTTGGGTTCAAGTGATGATGGTGATGGCCTCTAGGGATAGGGTGGTATCTTTGGCTCTGAAGAACATGGTGGTGTTCTTCATGATGAAAAAGCCAATCGAAAAATCATTGACAATTATCGTACTGTCTCTAACCACTTTTTAGGGAGCTTTGTTGAGAGGTTGATCTAACTGCAATTGAAGAGGACTCTAGAAGTGGGTTATCTAAATCTCTTTTAGTAGATTTCAGGCTGGGATTCAATATGGACAGATATAATAATAATATGGACAATATGGACCTGAGATGGAGGTGCCATATCCATTCTTATGCTCCTTGAACTCTCAATGGTTATTGATAGTGTTGACCATAGTGTTCCTCTGGATTTGGTTTATGGATTTAGGGATGGGTTAATCATCATCTACAGTAATAGTGATTCTCCTCCATTTGGCATCGGTTTCAGTTGGTGTTGGCTGGAGTGGGAGAGATGTTACTCTCTAGGTTTCTCCTTTATCGAATATCACAGGGTTTGACATTCCCTTCTTGCTCAACATCTTTAGAAAAATGTTGGATTATCTACAGCTTTTTGGTTCAATATCATCAGTATCTTAATGATATCTCATTATATCTTCTGATCCCAGGTCAACCAAGTGAGGCTGTTGAGGTTTAATTCCAGTTCTTGTGCAGATTTGGGTAGGGAGGAACCAACTCTGACTGAATGTTACTAAGACTGAATGCAGGCAAACATTATGGCCATTTGAATTTGGGAATATTCCATCTTTAACCTTGGAAATGATTGCACTTTCTTGTTCAAGAGTGTGCAAAATCTGGGGAATCTTCTTGAACTGTCAGTTGCTGTTCAATGAGAAGGTGGAAGCTTTGGCCAGGAAGGCCTTTGCATAATTCTAGTTATACCCTTTCCTGGCTCAGGACGTCATAGTCACAGTTTGATAACCGAGATGCACTATTCATGGGATGCCTGTGAAGTCAATTTGGAAGCATCAATTGGTTCAGAATGTAGCAATCTGGGCAATTACGGGCATGCTTCATGAGCTATACAGTTACTAATTTGCTTTCCGATGCAAATCAAGATGCTGGTTATGACCTATAAAACTCTGCATGGCATAAGACTGATTATCTAAGTGACCACCCTTCAAATGGTGTCTGCCTGGCCAGTATGAGCTGACAGGGTGGGCATGCTCCTTCAGTCAAATAGTGTCATCTATTGGGGTCCAGGAAGTATCTTCTCAGTTGCAAAACCTGCCCCCTGGAACGAAGTCCCCCAGATGTACTTGTGACTTCCACGCTGATACCATTCCAGAAAGTCCAGAATACCTGGATGTTCTGCCAGGCCTTGGATTAAGGTGGTCGGGGCCCTGGCAGACATGCTTAGGGGTATAAGTATTTTTAGTACACTCACTATCTCTTCTTATTCTTTATTCCTTCATTCTTATTTTTTGTAATTATATTATATTATATTGAATTTTCCTTTTTTGCTTAGCTTTTTTGTTCACTGCCCAGAATCAGTTTGCAGCTGGGTAGTGCTTAAATTAAATAAATTAAAGTAAACCAATTACAGAATCACAACCATCATCTAGGTTGTTTTGATTTCCCCTGTGGACCTCCCCAGCTGCAGGGCATTGTTCTTATTAGGCTGATGTTTTTCTGAAGTAGATACATTGAATGTGAGCACACGCAGATCCCTGATCTCTTGAGATCCAGGGCAATTAGAGCATATGTGCATTTTATTCACTTGTATGTCTAATCCAAGAAGCACCAGTTATAAGTAATAAATATATAGTATATGTTTTATCAGCAATTTTCATATCTATTTGTTAAAGCCTAAAAGAGACAATAATGTGGATTCAGTGAGGGACTTAGGGACATGAAGGAATCTTTCTTAAAAGAAGTGTGGCCTCTTTTTTGTTTTGAAGGCTTGCAGCTTCCCTCAGGGAGGCCTTGCAGGGGGCACAAATGGCTAATTTAAGGGAGCAGCCCAAGTAGACTACAATTGGGATTGGCAACTAAGTAGGCAGTTACTAAACAAGGACTACTCAGGCCTGACTTGAAGGCCTGAGTAGACCCTAGCGACTACTCCCTAGGATCATACATAAAAAGATCCTAGGGAGAAAGGAAGTTTTTTACTATCCTATTTCATTCATAAAGCTACAAAGCAGTTGCTTTCCCAGTACATAATGGATTCAGCTCATACCATCACTAGGTATGAATCAGATAAATCCTTTCCTAAAATTCAGGCGAACCACTGCCAGCCATTGGAAATCAGTAGTAGCCAAACTGGCCACTTATTTTCAAGCCCAAGTCTACTATGTCACAGCCATATAACATATAAATCTATTACTCTGATCTGATTTCTTCTGGCATTGTAGTCCAGGGGTGTCAAACTCACATCATCACGGCGGCATCACGTGATGTATCAGGACTTTCCCCCACTTCACTAACTGGGCATCCAGCCTATGAGCCGGGAGTTTGACAGCCCTATCATAGTCCATTCTAGATGGTCTTCTTCTTCTTCCTCCCCTTCCTCCTTCCACCAACCTCCTCCTCTTCCTGCCTTGAATAGGGTGCATCCCTAGCTGTTGACTCTACCCTACTGCCACATTTCTGTTCCTTCTCTTCTATATACACATTTTAAATGAAGGCCTCAGATGGAAAGTGTCCTTTGAGTTCTTAGTTATGACCTAAGTGGATGGATAGGAAATGGACAAGGTTATGCTTATTCAACTCGCTGCTATAGAGTAGCATATTAAGCTCAGAATGTCTGATGATCTGCATTTAGTAATTCAAAAATAGTTTGCCAACTAGGCATGTGAAATAAGATTTTGAAACTTCAGCCCCACATGCATGTACACACACATAAAACACATATACTGTACAGAGACAGAGGGTCAACATTTGGAATCCACTAATTAGTTGCAAATGTCCTTGGATTCTGATCTACAGGTGTTATAATAGGCTTAGGTAATATAACTTTGTATTTTATTTTTTGTGTGTTGATTCTTAATGTACTGGAATAACATTGAAGGAGGGTTTGACAGCAGTAATAATCATTAAAAATAAACATAATGAGGAGAGAAAATATATGTGCGTGTTTGTCATTCACCTGATTGCTATTCCAACTTAACTATACACAACAAAAACACAGATAATGAACCATTCTTTGCTATAATATTTGAAGTTTGTTTTTATTTTTGTTTGTTTGTTCCTGTTTCTGTCAGGCTATAGGCCAAACCGGGCAACTAGTTGAAAAGAATAATAAAACTAAAGATTGAATGATAACTTCAAACCAGAATAAAGCCGTATAATTACATAAGACCTGCTGGATCACATCAAAATTAAGAAGTTTAGAGACAAAACCAGGAAAATATCTATTTTAAACATTTTGCATTCAAAACTGAAATATAAAGTTCCTATTTAACCATCGTTCTCCATTAATTGGTTTCCAATCAGCTTCACTTGTTTATCATAAATTCTCCAGAAATATATGTTTAAAAGCTGTAACATAAGTAGCCATAATTCTAAACATTTCCTTGATCAAATTAAAGCTTCATATTTTTATTTTTAAGTTTTTAAAGAT